CCGCTTTGTCTTTAGCGGTTGTGTCGGGAAGGTCAGCATCATAGAATGCCAATTTAATAGAAGAAAGTATTCTTGCATTGAGGGAGTACTTGGGTGTCCATAAAGGTCTTTCTTAAACAGGCTTGAGTGTCTATGAATTTGTTTCTCTAGTTAACTCTGACTAGCACGGACTCTTAAAAATAGCTATCAGTCAACAAATGTAAAACAAATGCATCCAAAATGGCAACAAAGAAGTAAAACTCTCTATAATTGCTGATGATTTTCTAATAGAAATTCCAAAAGCCCTAGAAGAAAATCATTGAAATCTCTAAAAAGGAAATCAGAAAATAATATCATTTACAGTAGCCACCTGAAAGATAAAATAAATGGAATTAACCTAAGCAGAGAAAAAAAATTCTTGTAGAAAGAAAACAATAAGAAAAACACTGCACCAAGGTACAAAAAGAAACACAAATAATTAGAATAATGGACCATGTTCATGAAGAGGAAGGCTCAACTTTGTGAAAATAACACACTCTAAGCAATCTATAATTATAATGCAATTATCATTATAATTATCTTCTGAACAAGATGTCTGTCTGGTGTCTACTTTTAAGGACATGGAAGTTACCAAGTTTTAAAAGAAATTACTCATTAACTTAAAATAAACAAATAGATCCATCATAACAAAGGCCAAAACTACACCCCTGCCGCATAGGAGATCCAGTGGTGTTGTAGATTACACAATAGACTATTAATTGCAAATTCTGCAGTTCAGGACCACCATCTAATCCTCAGGAGAAAGATGAAGCTTTCTGATCATGGAAGGTTTTACATTCTCAGAAATCCAAAGGAGCAATGGTGTTTTGTCCTGTACGGTTTCTATGAGTCTTAATTGATTCAACAGCAGTAAGTTGGGTGTTGGGGGGTGGGGGAAATCCCTATAACTGCAACTGAGATTGACCTGAGGGAAAGAGGACAATCACAGTTCAAGTGGACTATCACTAGACTTGTCTCGGAATCCCTAAGACACTCTTCTCTGGAAATGTCCACCAGAAAAAGAACACTCACTTGTGTTTCACGTTTTCTGAATGTGAATTAGCTAGTTTCTAGAGAAGATACTAGAACAGATTGATCCATCTATAAACACAGGATAATATGTTTCATTAATCCAGGCAGATGAACTACCTCAAGAAATTATTTCAAAAATATTTCCCTATGCAAATGAATGGATTGAAATTGATTACACAACCTTGTATGAGTGTACAAGATAAACAGTGAAGAAGAGTCCGTGCGAACTCCAATGATGTCGTTCCGCCCCACCCTGGGTTTTATACACAGGGTAATGTCTTACCTGTTGTCTTTCACTTATTTTAGTGGATTGTATTTCTGTTTTCCTTTATAGTTGCTTTCAAAACATTTTTTCTCTTCTAAGTTAAGACAAAATAGAACAATTTCTACTGAAGTTTCTTCTCAATCTGCTGCTAAGCAGTGGGACCAAAGCCAACCCAAGACACAACAGACAATCTCATCTGTGCTCACACACCTATCTGCTTTTGGTTCCTGGGTTTGTTCATTTGGGCCTTAGCTCCCAATGCTGGTATAAAGATCTCTTAGGTCAGCCCACCTCTACCCCCACAGCTGTTCTGCAGGGTGTTTGTGGGGGTGTGTGCTCAAATTGACTTTTCCGCTCCTTGGCTCCTTGCACAGTGGTCATCAGTGGTCACAGAGCCCAGCTTCAGGGAGAGCTGAATCTTGGAAATGTCTAGGTCAATGACTATATGGTCTCTGAGATGGTGTGTATTCGCTAAACCACTCATACCCATAGAAGGTCCTTCTCCTCCACTCATGCCCTCTCCCCGGGTTCTTCCTGATCCAATCCCAAGTAGTACTGGTTCTGGAGATGGAGTCCCCCATGGTGGTGCAGGTGAGAGTAGGGTCTGTGAAGGCTTCACCACCTGAGCACCTGATTCCTATAGCTGCATGTGGGACAGGCCCCTGGAGTCTCAGAAACCAGCATTAAAGGACCCCTGTGTTTTTTGAATCTGCTGTAACCCACTGCATTTCCCTGCCAATGACCTGATAGAAGACCCTGCACCATCAGGAGGAAGAGAAAGGAGGCTGACATTTCTGTATCAAAGACTCCCTGACTCAGAAGGATCTGGAATCTCCTGATTGCAGGGTAGTGAAGACGGTGGTCTCATTTAAGTAAGAAACCACAACAGGCATTTTCCTAGTAGTGTTACTGGCTGTCATAAGAGTTTGGGACTTTGAACAGCTTGCTAATGCATAGGCACCACAGCTCCACAAGAAAATGTCTCAAGAGCTGGTTGTTGAAACCAGTTGGATGACAGAGATGAGAGTGATGTGACCCACAGGCATGCCTTGAATTAGTGGGCTCTTTAGATTCCACTATTTGCAATTATAAAATCAGCAGAGTCCCAGTGTAGCAGTATTGCTTGTTGTGAACATATGCATCCACTATTTCATGCATTCTTGTTTGTTGTGAACATATGCATCCACTATTTCATGCATTATTTGTTACGTCTGAGAGCTAGAAACACACCAGATATCCTTCTACACTGAGGGAAAACCAAGAAGGCAAGTAACTGAGCTAGGAAACGAACAAGCTCTTCCTCCAAAACCAAACCCACAGTGAGTGCATCTATTCTGACTCATAGGAACCCTATAAGACTGGTTAGGACTGTTCCTTAGGCTTTTTATGACTGTAATTATTTAAATAGATAACTTCATCTTATTCAGGTGGACCCCTTGTCTGGTTTGAATCCCTGACCTTGTGGTGAGCAACCAAATCTTTTCCCACAGCACCACCATATCCTTGATATCTCTGCACCAACAGGCCCATGTTCAGGGTTTCTTAAATGTCACTTTTAGAAGCCAAGTCATGATATTTTCAATATTATTATATAAATATGAACTCTGGACTATGAATAAGGAAGGCCATAGAAAAAATGATGGCGTTTGATTTATGGTGTTCAAAAAGAATGATGAAAGTACGGTGGGATGGGCTGGCAAATAAAACAAACAGATCTGTTTTGAAGGGAGTACAGCCAGCGAGTTCCTTCGAATCAAGGATGGTGAGACTTTGTTTCTTGTAAAGTTATGACACCTGTCCCTGGAGAAAAACATCAACCATGATAAAGTTAGGAGATCGATGAAGAACAAGGTACATGATGAGATAGACTGCCACAGTGGCTGTAACCATGAGCTCAAAATATCCATTGTGTTTATGGTGCTGTGGGAAGCATTGTTTAGTTCTGTTGTACTTTGAATCACTGAGAATTAGAACTGACTCTATGGCACTAACATAATAAAAAAGAAATAAAAATACACAACATTCTTCCTGGGTTGTATAGCAGTGCTAGGGAAATGGTGTATATTCCATGCAGGAAACCACACCTAGCAAAGGAAAATATGTAAGAGAAGACACTGTCTTTATAAGTGCTCTTATGTTGAAGTTCACTGTGTCTTGGATAGTTATTGGTAGCAAATGTCTTGTCTGAATATTTATAGAACTTTAAGCATCCAAGGTTGCATGGGTGCAGTATGGTTGTATTAGACCCATAAAGAAGTCTCTAACATGAAAGAGAAGAACTGCCTGAATAGGATTTTCTTTTCTGAAATACTGATGGGAGAAAGTTATAACCAACAGAGTCACTGAGTGTTTTTGAACTGCCAACCTTTTGGTTAAACGTTGAACATTTTATCATTGTGCCACATACTTTTGTGGTCCAAGTTGTACTGAGTATAACTTACATGCATCGACTTTTACATTCTGAAGATGAACATTTCTCTTCATGTTGACCAGTGTTGACATCATGTAGATTTCTTCAATGTCAGCACTACTGTCATTTTTTGTTCCTTGAGTATTTATTGTAGTATATGTAGAGTATGCTGTCCTATATATTGTGTGTTTTCAGTAGCAACCCTGGACACTATCTGTAGTGTCAGAAACAGCTGCTGCAGTTGTGATAACTAAGACTGACTCTAATAAAGATCAAATACCCTATAAGAAATATCAGAGAAGAATTAATGCACTTGGGTTATGTTGTTAGAGAATAATATTAAATGTATCATGGGCTGCCTGCAGGACAAGCATGTCGTTGGAATAGGCACACCTTGGATGCTTCTTGGAAGCATTCAAGTAAGACTTTATCTCACTTATTTGACCATGTCATTAGGAGCACCACAACCCGTTTAATGGTCGTGTGCTTGGTAAATTAGAATGTCAATGAAAAAGACAGAGTCTTTCCAGGAGATAGTTTGTCATAAGACTGCAATGATGAGTCCAAACGGAGGAATGATTGTGAGCATAGTGCACTTCAGGGCAGTATTTCCTTCTTTTGTACACGGGATCTACAGGAGTTGAAGCCAACTCAAGGGTACCTAACAATTCAGCATATTCAATATTATTTAGGTCATTCTAAGTAAAAATTACTACATAAACATATACTTGTGTGTGTTCAGTGGAATGGAAACATTGAACATCCATCTGATGGCTTGGAGAAAATCTGGAGCTCACATGAGAATTTTTTCCTGCATTCATATTTTTATAATCAGATTGGTGGCATAGTGGATATGTGTTGGGCTGAGATCTGCATGCCAGTGCCCACTCCAAAGAAGAACGACAGGGCTTTCTACTCCCATAAGCAGTTTGAATCTCAGAAACCCACAGGGCATCACTATAATTTGTCATCAACTGGATGGCAGTGAGTTTGGGGTTTGTTTGTTTTTTAATGTTTCTAATAGTTAGGACCCTGAATTGTAAACTGAGATTTCATCAATATAAATTCCTTTGAAGTCTGTCTTTGGCTAAATGGTGAAGCAGACAAAGCTCATTCTATTGAAAAGAAGGCATGTTCAGATACATGAAGGTTCCCTAGAGTCTGTTCTTGGTAGTCCCTAGAGAGGTGCTGACAAGGTGAGGAAACCACAGTTTGTGAAAGGAAAACATCACTGACTTGTTTCTTTCACATCTGCTGAAACCATGATCTGATGTACTAAGGTTTTTGTCTGGGCTCACAGTGACTTCCCATCACTGTGTATCTAGCACAGTAATACACGGCTGTGTCCTCAGGATTCACAGAGCTCAGTTTTAAATAAACTTGGCTCTTGGAGGTGTCCCTGGTGATGCTGACTCGGGACTGGAGAGCTGGATTATAGTATGTGCTCCCAGTATTCCATATTCCACCAACCCACTCCATTCCCTTTCCTGGAGCCTGGCGGGCCCACTGCACACCATTGCTGGTTAAAGAGAATCCAGAGACAGAACAGGTGAGAGACAGGGTCTCTGAGGGCTTCACCAGTCCGGGGCCTGACTCTTGTAGCTGCACCTGGGCCAGGACACCTGGGGATAAAGAGAAACACGGTGAGTCATGTACTCAGATGCTGCCTCCACAGACTTCATGTGTGAATCCCTGAACCACTCACCTCCCAGAGTCGCCACCAGAAAGAGGAAAACCCACACACAATTCATGTTCATGTGGATAATATTCGTGACACCCAGAAAGTGCTCTTGAGAGTGAGAAGGAATACGAATTTAAGTACATGCATGCTGTGGTTTCATGTGACTGGTATTTGCATGTGGGAGGTGCACTTGTATGTAAACATGGGAAGGGCTGAATGGAGCCCATAGCTCTGGGACTTAGACTAGACAATCAATGCTGGTGGAGTCCTTGGGAGAACACAGTCCTCTATGAGGTCTTCACTCTACCAATCATATGCACATCTGCACAGATTTCATGTTCAATGTAACTTTATGTCCATTCCCATCTATTAAAATTAGAGACAATCTCTATCCTCACCATGTTTGAGGTAGTAGAGCAACCATAGTGGTCAGCACAGCAGTTCTAGCTGACCAGGCACTGCAGTCCTTACCCAGGCTCCTGTCCTCACTTCTTTCTTCACTTGGTCCAGAGCTGGTGGGTCCTTAGCATCCCTGCAGGTCAGTTTTCTCCCTGAGGTTAGTTTACTGTCTGGACTCACACTGACTCTCCTTCACTGTGAACAGCTTTGGAGGTAGAGAGTGCTACATCTTGCAAACAATCTGAATTGGGTACAGCAGGAGGAAGTATGATCTCTATATAGAGATATTTATGTAGCTATTATATTGAAATGTATTCCACAATAAAACACTGATTAAGAAAGAAATTTGCCTGAAAGACAATGAAGTTATTGAACAGAGTTGTGGTAGTTCGTTTATTGTGCCAACCTGGCCAATAAACACATGTGGGGTTAATTGAAGGTCGGAAGGACAAATGGCTCAGTGAGCCTTTTGTTCTCTGGTCTCTTGTTTTCTGATGGCCGGACCAGGGCTCAGCTGCCTTAGCCAGTTCCCTGCTTTAGCTGGCAAGGCTCACTTCCTGCAAAACATCCCAGGAGAAGCCACATAGACTTACCCTGATGCAGCCCTGGGTGCTAGAGCACCCGTGTGAAGACCCCTGCCAGCGATGAGATGTTTACACATTCACTGACTCAGCTTTCCTCCTGAAGTTATCATCATTGCATCTGTTTTGTGAGATGGAGGAGGACTTTGTGCACTGGTATTAGACATATGGGTAAATGGGTTAATGTTGGACTTGTGGGTTTGGGCAGCACTGGGTTGGGATGTTTTCTTGGTGTGCACTTAACCTTTATATATAAAACTCTCTTATACATATGTTGCTGTGGATTTGTTTCTCTAAAGTACCCAGACTAGCACAAGAGTTTAGGCTTCATTCTTTCCACAGGAAGAGAAAAGTACTTAAACTACACTTCTATTCAAAATAATTGAAGCAAGAAAGTAATAGGGTTATTTATTCCATGGGTTTTTTAAAACCATTTTATTGGGGGCTTATACAACTCTTATCACAATTCATACATACATACATTTTGTCAAGCACATTTGTACATTTGTTGCCACATCATTCTCAAAACATTTGCTTTCTACTTGAGCACTTGATATTGGCGCCTCACGTTTTCCCCTCCCTCTCTGTTCCCCCTCCTTCATGAACCCTTATTAATTTATAAATTATTGTTATTTTGTCATATCTTACACTGTCCGATGTCTCCCTTCACCCACTTTTCTGTTGTCCACCCCCCAGCAAAGAGGTTATATGTAGATCCTTGTAATCGGTCCCCCCTTTCCACCCTACCCTTCCTCCACCCTCCCTGTATAACCACTGACACCACTGGTCCTGAAGGGATCATCCGTCGTTGGTTCCCTGTGTTTTGAGTTCCTATCTGTACCAGTGTACATCCTCTGGTCTAGCCAGATTTGTAAGGTAGAATTGGAATCATCATGATAGTAAGGTGCGGGGGAAGAAGCACATAGGAACCAGAGGA